ATTATTTCCTTCTCTGCTGCTTCACTACCGACTGTGAGTAAGACTGAAATAAACTCTACAACCTAGAAAAAAGAAACAGTCATATTTTCATTTGTGGTTCAGATATTTGAAATTATAACCATACTTTATTATTTTGGAAGACAAATAAGACAATGTGAACAACAGAAGTACCTTTAATCTGTGTTTTCCAAGAGGCGGTCGCAACTTGCCATAAGTTGTTAACAGAACACCCTCAGCAGATGATGTATTCAAAAGCATGAGTAAATCACCTGCAGCGTAGAAGCATATTACATAGTTTTCATAGCCGCCAAGAGATAACATTGCAGACCACATATTAACAGAAAAAGACTGAAAGCAAAATGCCATAATTGATAGTATAGTACGCCTCGATACATAATTTAAAAGTACAGGTCAACCAGTTTCCATACAAACAATCAACAAATGTGCATAGAAATCTGTTGGCAGGATTTGAATCCCACTTAAACAAACCTAGTATTACTTCTTCCCAACGCAACCACATCCTCACAATAGGAAAGTAGCATATAAGAAGTCAACACAACAACAGACAAGAGAAACTACGTATCAAAATCTAACAACCATATTGTATTTGCCCACCTAGGCTATAAAGCATTCCCTCCACTGTCTCGGGATTAGGTACCATGCTTCCATGGGTTAGTTGACGACTATATATATGATAAGTCCCCAATGTAAATCTCTTGGGATCCAGCAGAGATATGCATACGGACAATGAATTAACCAGTACAGACTTAGGCCGTGAATCTTCTAACGTGTGTTTTAACAACCTTCCAGTGCAGCTGTATCAAATTGTACAGGGATCAAAGATAAGCAACAAATTATAATTATCAACACTATCGACGACTAGATGAAAACAATAGCAAAAGCTGAGAAAGTCTACCTGGGACTGGAAAGTTTTGTTGCAAGACCAGGGGGTGCGTATCTTGCTACAGTACAAAGAACTTCGGCTGCGTTGGCATGTACCTCGGGACAATCCTACAAAATATAATATCAATAATATCATTACCTGGGACGATCTAAAAGAAAGGAGGAAAAGTATAAGACAAGCCCATGTTGAAAGAAAGGTATTCATTTACTTACGGAGGAGCCAAACTTGTCCACAATCATCTCCAAAATATCTGTATCTTCTACCCACTGCATTGCACTTGTGTAGCTTGAGTATAAGTGTTCATCAGTACCGACCAGACGTTTTAAAACCTGTGAACCAGTAATTAGAGTCTACCAAACTAGTATTTACAGATACCTAATAATCTACAACCTATGGGTATCTCCTATAAGAATTACAACCTTCATTGCTTACAGAATAATAATTGAAAGTTCTACCATTTTATAAGAGCAATATTAGCAGTATTTACAATTGTTCTCATCGTTATTACTGGGTCTATTACTATTACTGTGTAAATAGAATCATAAGTACCTTGAAGAAGATGAAAACATGACACTTTTCTAACTATTCAGTGTATTCTCACGTAAATGTGTAATTAAAGTAATGCCGAAATCATGAGTTCCTAAATAACAAATAAAAGTACAAACCAACCTCCATTATAGATGTAATACCAATCAAATCAACAAGCTGCTTCAGTATTTCTTGATGATCCTGGTAACACGAGGAAGATAAGGTTAATAATAAAAGATTTCTCTATGAACTCCAGATAGTTAAATGTCACATTGGATACTGTTGATTAGGAAAAAGCTCTGTCATAAAATAAAAAGCTTTATCAATATATGACTATTCGATAGCATTATCCCAAAAGTAACAGGCACAAGAAAGCAGCTAGCTAATGGTTTAATAATTTCTACAAAGATAAGGATAAAAATACTAATGCTAGGTAAGTTCAACTCATCCTTAAACAGATATCCTAGTTCGGGAAACAAAATCAACTTACTTTTATGAATTGCATGAACGGGATGGTCTTCCGCACCAGCAGACAAATGACAACCTAGTAACAGAAGATGTAAGAGAAAACACGTAGAAGAAATAGAAAAGGAGTAGTATAATAAGTGGGAAAGCTCGCCATGAGCTTCTGATAATTAAAATACGTCGAATGCTATACACCTTGCTAAAGTATCCGGCAAGTAATGAGTTATGGGTTTCTTTAGCTTCCAAAAACGAAAAAAGTAATAACATCAACTGCAAAAAAGAAGGCAACACGAGAGGTAAGAAACTCTAGATCCTTAATCATTATAAAGCAAAAATGTGTACTAGAGTCAATGTCTACCTCCTCATCCTCGACTAGTGTTTTCAGTATCATTTCAATCTCACATGTGAAAATTTCACAGGCAATGAAAGGAAACCTGGAACAAATTTAGAAGAAAAAAAATTGTTTATTCGTCAAAAACAATCAGCAAGAAAGAAAAAAAAAAGAATAT